AGAGAGAGAGAGAGAGAGAGAGAGAGAGAGAGAGAGAGAGAGAGAGAGAGAGAGAGAGAGAGAGAGAGAGAGAGTTGTTGTAAGTAAGGTGGAAAGGTACACAGTCGCATGAGACAGAGAGACTCCTTGATAGGTTGTCTGCAAATAACAAAAGCTGTTGTCTCAGTTAGGACCTTAGCCGAAACTGGGTAATGGCCCCAGCCTGTGATTTTTTCCATGATATATTTGTCGGCGGAAAAGGAGCAAGAGCGAATGACAGAAATCCAAGTTGCATCATCACAGTGAAAGCCAGATAGTTGTGTGTCGAGCAGAAAGCAGAATGCACAATGTTACACACCAAACAAGAGCAAAGCAATGAACACAATTGTCAATGTCAGCCCAATCTCGCCTCCACCAACAACGTATCCAATGTTGCTCTTCCCTCTGGCGCCTGGTGCCCAACCGCAGACTCACAACACCTATGCTACTGCCTTCACCCGAATAGAACGCCCGGTCATTATAGCTGCATTTGGCCCAACTTTCAGTCCAGATGCAGCGATAATGACCGGGCGTTCTATTTGGGTGAAGACGGTAGCCTACACTAAATGATGCAACCAGAAGCACTTCAGCAGCACATGATGTACATGAAGACGTCGCCCATGCAGACCTCCACAACAAACCAGGTACGTCCTTCTCTCCCCCACAGCTCATCCCCTGACTGATCCCCGTTACAGGCTCACCACCTCGCACAAGGACCACGACCAACCCCACAGGCATCCAGAGCGAGCAGCCCGGCTACGACTGCCACTCATCTAGCTGTGGCCAGCAGCTTTACTCCCAGCGCCCGTGTGCGCCCCTTCTCCAGCCACCACGCTGCCTTGCCCAGCGTCCAAACTGGTAGCGCTGTCGCAGCCCCTGCTGTTCGTCGCGTTCTCATTAGCCGGTAGGCTCGCAGCCACATAGAGCAACCTCTGGGCCTGGAGGGCTGCATCCCAAGACGCTGTTTCCACAACCAAATGGCGGGGGAAAATAGGCCGCCTGTAGGGCACAGGGCCCGCCACCCAGTAGGGCAGGGCCTTTTGGGGCTCTGCTGAGGGCTCAAGTCCTTGCATATGAGGGATGCTAGATGTGGTTTCCAGCAGGTATAAACGAGCCACCTGGTGGGGTTGCCTTTTTTTTGTTTTTTTTTAAAGGACTTCATATGCGGGAAAACCCGCTTAACGAGGTGATAAGAGCAGCCCTGTTAAGTGGGTCCCGATGTTGAAGGCTCCATCTATTGGTGGGGAGCTACACCTGCTGGAAATCGGGTCCAGCGTCCCTGTACAATAACATGTGTCAGCTGGAAATCGGGTCCAGCGTCCCTTATACAATGATGTGTAAGGATGCCATACTATGCATCCGATGGTATGGGAGGGTGTTCGTTAAGTTTGTATATCTCCCATTAGAGCAGAAGGCATTGATTACTTCCCAGGAGAAGGCAAGGATTGACCTCCTGCGTACATGACCAAAACCCTAAGTAAAACCATCTCCATCAAGCACCCCAACAGCCGAAACGCACCCATGCTTGAAACCCTAAACAACCTACCCCTACACCTCATCATGATTGGGGATTGAGGGCCGGACAACCCCAATCAATGGAGGGACATCGTTTATCCCACTCCCACCCACTGTGAAGCGAAGATAAGCGGATCAACAGGGAGAGACACCACCCAGAAGGTGGGGAAGGTAGTAGTAGCCATTGTCATCGCCGATGTTGTTGCTGTTGATGTCACTATTGTTGTTGTTGTTGTTGTTGTTGCTGTTGTTGTTGTTGTTGTTGTTGTTGTTGTTGTCGCTATCGTTGTTGTCGTCGTCGTTTTTGGTTGTGCTGTTGTCACTGTTGCCATTGCCGCCGCCAACAGTGCAGGCGTCGCGATCGATGATGCGTTGTTGTGATCATTATTGGCGTTATGACCTTCGTTGTCTTCACAGCCGCCAATATCACCGTGTTGTTGTTGTTGTTGTTGGTATTGATGTTGTCGTTGTTACCTCTGTTGCCACGTGCGCCTCCTCCCCATCAATATCGCCCTCCAACCGGTCCTTCTGCTCTAATGGGAGATATACAAACTTAACGAACACCCTCACATACCATCGGATGCATAGTATGGCATCCTTACACATCATTGTATAAGGGACGCTGGACCCGATTTCCAGCTGACACATGTTATTGTACAGGGATGCTGGACCCGATTTCCAGCAGGTGTAGCTCCCCACCAATAGATGGAGCCTTCAACATCGAGACCCACTTAACGGGGCTGCTCTTATCACCTCGTTAAGCGGGTTTTCCCGCATATGAAGTCCTTTCAAAAAAAAAAAAAAAGGCAACCCCACCAGGTGGCTCGTTTCCATTGGTGGGGAGCTGCACCTGCTGGAAACCACATCTAGCATCCCTCATATGCAAGGACTTAAGCCCTCAGCAGAGCCCCAAAGGGCCCTGCCCTACTGGGTGGCGGGCCCTGTGCCCTACGGGCAGTCTATTTTCCCCCGCCAGTTGGTTGTGGAAACAGCGTCTTGGGATGCAGCACTGAGTACGTGCTCGGTGTAAAACAAGCCCTGGGTGGCTTGGTTCTTTCTCCACTGGACAGGAACCCTGGCGCCACTCTTGTGGAGTGCCCAGTGTTGTACGTGAAAGGGATGAACATGATGTATAACGAGAACGGGAACTATGAGAAAGTTGATATAACAGATGGAGAGATTTTGAGAAACTCGAAAGCCAAATTTATGAGCTTGAAGCTAGGTAAGATTGCCAGATGGGAGCATAAGGGTAAGCTGCAGCAAGCCTACATCCTCTCAAAAGACAAGGACTTGGAAAAGAAGAGACCGATTGTTCCCTCCTTTTTGAGTCCAACATCGAGTGCAATGGGCTATCTGGCGAAATGTTTGATTTTATGATAAAGAGAATGAAAGGACGACACTTCAATATAAGTGGTCCAAAGCAGTTGAAGGACAAGATTAATAAAGTAAATGAAGGGGCAAATCGCGAATTTGGAGTAAATTGTAAAATGGTGGTCAGGACATATGATGTGAAAGAAATGTTCACAAAGCTACCTCATCCTAAAGTAATAAAAGTCGTTAGATGGTTGATTGAGATATCCCGTGACATGGGACACGACTGGATTAGAGTCAAGGTGAATGGGAAGAAGGCGACTTTCGGCAAGTCACATGGGGAAGTCGCGTGGAAGTCGATTCGGATGAGCGAACTTGTGACCTTAACCATTTTTCAACTGGAGCATACTTTCTTCTATTCGATGAACCAGATCCTGAAATAGACCGTCGGAATACCTATGGGGGGAAGGGCGAGTCCTCCTTTGGCGAATGTATTGTGCATATTCGTGGAGCAGCAGTTCGTTTCTAGTCTGGGGGCTGATGCCAAATACATCGATGGAAACAGATTCATTGATGACTTGCTGTTGATTGGATGAT